CTTGGCTATGTAGTAACTCCTGGCATGTTAAAAACAAAAAGCAAGTACGACAGGTGCAGATTTCTACAGTGCGAACGGCGGCACTGAGGGGTCACGAATCACGCAGATGTGATGACGCCTAACTCATGCGTATAACGCAGTTATGAGAATTCAGTAAATCACCGATGACAGCAGCGTGTTTATTCCATGCCAAACGTCTATTGATTTAAAGTTAATCTGTTACGAAAGTCACAACCTGTGCCGCACGCACCGGCATCCTCCTGCATTTAAAGCTCATCTCCCAACTGCCAGGCCTAACTCACCCACGCTGAATTATATATTCCAATTTGTAATTTTTAAAAATCCTAGTAAACAACATCTGCTACATAACCTCGCATACATGACGCCCAGAAAGATTAACACCAAACGACAAATTACACCAAATTGCATTTGCAATGGCAATTATGTAATCTTTTTTTTACTTCATTACCCCAATCTTTAAACTGTGTAAGCACGGCAAGTTAATAATTCACGCACGCACACATGCACCATTCACAGACGCAAGGCCCTACTGGCAATCGGTGGACTTTGGTTAAGCTGGGGAACCTGTTTCATAGCAAGAGCAAACAGTTTTTTGGCTGTCCCTGCAAGCCAGCCGCGACGAATAAACACACACTGATCGCTGACTGTTTAATTTGCCAACAATTCCGAGTTTTGCCCGCAATTCGACAAAATGTAAAAACGTCGATCGCGATCGAAACGATGCAATATCTGCCTTATTGTATAGCGTATCTTAAGAGAGTAAAACGCTCTAAACGCATACTAACTACAACTGCACCCGTTCGGTACCGAAAAACCTTACAACGCAAACACAGACAGACACCACACCATGTGACACGCGTGCGCTTCCGCCCGCACGCGCCACACACCCTTCCTCCCACCTTCCCTCCCCACCTTCCCACATGCACCTTCCCACACACACTTCCTCCACACCTTCCCTCCGCACACTTCCACCATATATAGGAAGCATCCACTACTCCAAGGCAACGATACATTGTCTGTGAGGCAGAGGAGTAGGGGACTTACTAACTACAGATTCCCGATCTAGGAGCACCTCACTAGTGTAACCTCTAAAAACTACCATAGTCTAACCTTCCCTACACTAACCCCTAACGCCCACTTCTCCCTATCGCGAGGCGGAGAGGGGCGCAGGGGGAACAGACTTACGCATTCCGACAGGCGATGGAGCCAAACCTGAGTGGTGGGAAGGGGTGCGGCACGGTCACACCCCGTGCGACGTTTTGATTCGCGGGAGCTGAGGAGACCTCCTGAGCAGGTGAAACCAGCACATAGAACTGTCCCCTCCAGACCGCGCGGAAGTGCTGACGATGAAATCAGTCCAGCTGGCAAGGCATACAGATGCTATTTTTTTATAAGGAATTATGTTATTATAACGCAGCTACACACTGCGATGCGCACGCAACAGGCAAGACGACTACCTAACTACACTGTGTACACTATGAAGTAGAGTTATTATATATAGATATATGTGTTATTATTTAGTATTGCACCTATAGTATTTTAAAACAATTTTTTTTACCACTATTGGGCATCTAGCGGATTAATTTCTTAGAAAAAAGGACCACATCAGGTTACACGTATATCGAGTTACACGTAATAACGAGCTTTAATAATTAAAATAATAAGTATAATTAAATAATAAGCAATATAATAATAATAACTCTTTATTCATATTAATTTCCCGTGAGATTCGACAACAAATGTTTGGTGGTGTAAGCAGCTATCTGTCACAACCATGCCAGGGGCGTGTACAGCGGGGGGGCGTCTAGGGGTCCTGGACACCCCCCTGCTCAGCTGCAGAAAACGCATCTAGGGCCTCTAATTTCAAAAAATTTATGCGGGGGAGGGCCCCTCAGACTTCCCCCTTCGCGTGCTCGCCAGTTTCGGTTTTTACGGTTAGACCCACCCCCCCTCCGTAAAAAATCCTGTAACGCCGCCTGCCATGCACCATGCACACACTATTTAAACCGATCATCACCCCCCCGCCCCGCGCGCGCGTCACAGCACTCAAGCCGTCGTCGCCAGGGTATACGCATGCAGCTGAACTGGGCGTAGACCTTGCTTGATGACGCGTGCAGTGACCGTCGCGATACATCACCCAGTTGCAGCGGGTCTCGCTGCCTTAGAACACTCCACTGTAGGGACTGCACTGCCAACATTAACCACTCTATCAGCCGATTCCATACACCACCGATTCGGACAATTTGCGTGACAAAAAAGACGGGAGAGGCTGTCACCCGAGAACGTGAGGTAGGCGGGAGCAATGAAGTGGGCAAGCGCGTGAGAGCTGACACGAGAACGGACAGGTACGGGACAATGAATGAGGGCACGCGGTGAGAGCTGACAGAGAAGGCGGAGTACGGGAATCAATGAATGAGGCACACGCGTGAGAGCTACACGGTTGAAGGTACGGGACAATGAATTGAGGCACGCGGTCCCGAGAGCTGTCACGCAAGAACGGGGAAGCTTACGGCGGACAATAATGAGCACGCCGGTGAGAGCTGACACGAGAACGGCGGAAGGTAGCGGGACAATGAATGAGGCACGCCGTGCCTGCAAGCTGTCAGCGGGAAGGGAAGGTACTGGGAAATGAGGAGGCACGCGGTGAGCAGGCTGACACGGGAAGTACGGGACAATGAAATTGAGGTCACGCGTGGAGGCTGAACGAAACGGACAGGTAGGGACAATGATAATGAGGCACGCGGTGGAGAAGTGTCACGAGAAGCGGAAGGTACGCGGGACAATGAATGAGGGCACGCGGTTGAGAGCTTGTCACGGGCGGAAGGTACGGGACAAGAATGAGGCAGCGCGTGAGAGCTAGCTGTCACGAGAACGGAAGCGTACCGGCTGATCAATGAATGCAGGCACGCGTTGAGAGCTGCTCACGATGAAACGGGAAGGTACGCGAGACAATGAATTGAGGCCACGCGTGAAGCTTGAGCACGAGAGAACGGGAAGGTAGCGGGGCAATGCAAAATGAGGCACGCGGTGAGCAGCTGTCACGGGGAAGTGTAGCGGGACAATGAATGAGGCACACGTCGGTGAGAGCTGCTGCACGGGCGAAGGTTAGCGGGACAATGAATGAGGCACGCGGAGAGCTGTCACTGAGAACGCGGAAGGTACGGGACAATGACATGAGGCCACGACGTGTGAGAGCTGTCACGAGAACGGGAAGGTACGGGACAATGAATGAGGCACGCGGTGAGAGCTGACACGAACACAGCAGGTTGACTCATGTGCCGATGTAAGGTTGACACATCTAGGCGCACTCACAGTGAGCGTTGTGTAGTTAGATTATGATAGATGATATCATTATCATGCTGTGGTGACATTACAATGTATGATGAGTTGATGACACAGTCACAGAACAAGACTTAACACATCGCAGCATGACGCTTGGTGTAGTTACATTATGACAGACGATGACACAGCCACAGCATGATAAATGACACCCATGCCCAGACACTCAGACGACACCCTCACACCCCAGAATGTTGCCTGACAATGTCATATCATGTCAGTTGAATCAGGCAAATAATGAGGTATTGATCAGCCGCAGAAATCAGGGTTAAGCGTCGATTAGGAATTTGCTATCATGCATTACGTATAGGAAATAATTAAGAGTCATATAATTATTTCATTTCCACTTCTTAGGTGTTTCCTTCGCATATATGTTATGTCTGTTATAGAACTTTTCTGTCAAACGTATGTCTTAATATTTCGATAGGGCGAGTCTTGTGATCAAAGACCGCCCCCCCCAACCACTCCTCTTCCACTTCCCACGAAATGGAATTAGGTAGAACTTGTAATCTCGTGTACACAGTGCTAGAGGAAATGTTTGCCGGGCACTGCCGCTGAATTTAAACAACCTTATCACGCTGTGTATACAATAGTATCGGCTGGTGGACACACAGACACACCACGCACCCACGCGGGCACGCAGACACAACACACACACGCACACACACACACACGCACGCACGCCCGCACGCACGCACGCACGCCCGCACGCACGCCCTCACGCACGCACGCACGCACACACACACCACGCAGGCATCCAGGCACGCACGCACGCAAATACCACTTTCTGCCTGAAGCAAATCATAGCCTTACTTGTTCTCCAGGGAACACCATCCGCAGTACGGATCCTTGCACCCAGACACTCCTGGCAGGTGCCGATACATGTCACAGTCCTTCACCTTCACCTTGCTCAGCTGAAACAACACGATGCAACTCGTATAGAACGATGCAAGAACACGTCAGATGAAATAACGACCACCATCAGGGGTACACCTACACACACACACACACCAGCCAACACACGACACGACTGCACGCACGCACCACGCACACCATGTATGCTACGACGGTGCACCACGTCCTGATTCAGGAAGGAACAGCTGAACAGTACTTAGCATGAGAATACCAACATCACAATGAACACATCGCTTGAACGTTGTCACAAGTGAAACAAAATAACCAATGCGCACTGCTTCCACACTGTACTAACTATACCAGTGGGGGTGGCACATGCGATAACAAGTCACCAGGGTGGCCACATGGGGTGGTATATGTAATGACCCACCAATGCAATACCCACCAATGCATTGCATTGGTAGATGCAATGCACCACATGCAATAATATGCCACCGGGGTGGTAGGCACACTCGTAAGTCACCAGGGTGGTGCAGACAGTGATGTGACAGACATAAGGGCAACACATGCACAGACTATATATGCCCATAAACGGTATCGTATTGCCCACCATTAATGGCAACTATTAACACTTTTCCCTTGATGCTCTAAGCATGAAACGTACCCGAAAGCTAGGATGTCAATTTCTTATGTAAAACATAATACCAATATAATATGCTGAAGCCTCCATTTGAACAATATGTAAATGAGTATGGAGCAATTAGCATGCTATTTGATCATTATCCGGAGGTATAGAATTGAAATTTCATGTATGCACAAGCTCTGGCGAGCATTTGTTTTCTAATGGCAGTTTTATGTCTGATTTAATAACTGCATTTATGCAACAGCTACAATCTATTGATTTATACATTATTCAATGAGCCTCAGCACTCACTGCTAGCAATCAAACGAGGTTTCTCATACTCGAAATTTGCCTATCGCTACTGACTTCTTGATGGACGAAATTAGCAAAATGGATTTCGCTCTCAGAGCAATAAGGACGTAAAGACGGCGGTCCGTGCGCCACGCATTAGATCCGCCATGACTGCTAGTGACCGCGTCTCCTAGATAACGAACCCCCGGATGTAGAAGCAGCCCGTGACGTCACCGCGAGAGGACGAACACCTCAGTGTGATGACTCACCACCCCCGCCTCGACCCCGGGGAGTAGCACGATGGAATCCACATCATGGCGAGCACAAATGATCCGATTATTGCCTAATATCATCACGTACGCGTAGAGAGATGATGCTGATGCAGCAGCAACAGTATGTTGTTGGGGTTGTCCAGTGCCCGGGTTCCTCCCCACAAGATGGCAAACTGTGCTTCTATGCTCTTCGCTGGACTGTCGTATTTAAACTGAAACAGAACACGAACATACATATCACGTTCCTAAAAAAATATACCCCCCCCAAACACATGACACGATACACTGATTGATACGATATACAATAACCCTAACACCCAACCAACACAAGACACGTTACAATCATACGTCATTGCATTAGCATTATTTAAAACGCTCAGACCAGGTAAAGAAATGAGGAGGAGTAGTAAAATGACGTCGGCTTACCAGGTGGTAGTTACACTTGATGAAGCCATCCTCATACACAGCCTCTACATCAGATATCCTACCATCCAGGTTAAACTCACACTGGAAGGGACTCGGATCAATCTCCTACAACAACAACAACAACAACAACAACAATCACACATCAGTATCAACAACAGCCAACAAAACGTTGGCAACCAACGAACTGAAACTACTATCTTTAGGCATTAAATAAAACTATTAATAAGTAAATTGTTACAAAATTAAGGAAGGAATACCATTTAGTAATCCATCTTTACACCTAAAGCGTATGCTTATATTATAATAACATAATAAATATTATACGTTACATATTATGCAAGTATAAAACGTTCCAAGTAGATAATGCTGCAAAGGTTTTTTTTCACATTCTGTCCCGTGGCACACACATGTTAACAATGTGGAATCTACGTGTCATAGGTGTTATTTACACGTGGGTGGGCATTCTGCTATGGACAGCATGTAAGATGAGATACGCTTACCTCGACGTTGCTGGCATGTACTGCAATCTGGTATTCCGTTCCTGACGGGATGAGGAACTCAGGGCGGGTGCTGTTGATGCGTGGGCAGTGGTCAGGACCAGGGCGTATGCTAGGACCCGGTGTCTGCAACAACAAAACACACGATTACAACCACCAACACATACAACCACACCAGCCGATCACAGCCCTAGCTCTCCCGATGCTGCACGTTTTGCCTCCGCTACAAGGGAAGCGAAGTGGGCTACACTGGTAGAGCTATCTCAGTCCCTGCTACGTGTGCGAATTAACCAGGTCAGTTCAATGTCTGAAGCGACAGGATTCCGCGTAACGGGAGATCCAAGGATGCGTCAATTCTACGTCGATAAACCGATCGCATTTACACCGGTCGCCGTGATCGTTAATGACATTAACGGATGCATCGGGGGGACGCCGGGGCAGCGTGGCGGCAGCAGCGATATTCGTGCATTCGAACATCCTGATCGATGTCAGTAAGCTAACGCCTCCGTCGCATACGACGCTGTTACCGGCGGCGACACCGACACCGTCGCGTGCTAATCGTCGTAACCACGACGATGGACAAACAGCCGCCGCGGAGAAAGCTTCCGGCACGCGAGCGACGGAGTCATCACGCCGCCGCGCCCGACGACCCATCTTCGCGGAGTTAACGTCGTTTATTTGGCCGTCATCGCCCCACCTCGCCCCGTTCTCTCACATCATCAGCTGCTCAGGTTGTCGATAATGATGTAACCGGCCGCGATGGCACGTGCGATGTGAGAGGGAGTTGCGGCGTCTGACCTGTGCGGACGACACCCTAACGCGGCGTCAACACCGTTAGTCGGGTGCGGACCCGTCAGTCGACCGTGAAAGGTTTCCGCGGGACCATTAAACTCGGGCGAATTTCATCTGCCCACGCTGTAATTTCGACCGAAAATAGCGGTCTGGTTATTCAAATTGCGGGTTTTCATTATGAGCTGTACTGCTGCTCGTTTCGACTAGTAGAATATATCGGCAGGCTTTGATGACGAGAGAGAAATGGCGACACAAAGGTTTCCATGGTCGTCATTAGCATGCCACTCTCTCTAATTAGGCAATCTCTCAACACGAGGTCCAAACGTCAGTTCTCCATCAAACTCTAAGCTTATCGGCAAGAGCAGAAATGGACGAAATGAACTGAAACTACTTGATCTTTAGTAAGTTTCTGCTAAGCTGCTTAAGCGGCAGTAGCTGCAACTACGCTATAAAATGCTGAAAGCATACGCCTCCCCCTTATTTCACTTCCACTATAACTTCTCTCCATCACGTCACATCGTGGGGACGTTTTTTAAGTGAATATGGCACTGTGGCAAGTGAATGGGTATATAAGTTCACGGGTCCAGAAATGATGCACAAACGCTACAGCGTACACGTATATCAATTTCATATCCCATTGTTTAATAAAATACGTTATTTAATCTCTTTTAGTCAAATAATCTAGATTCACGATTGGGAAGATCTCACAATATTTTATCATTGTGGATGAGCATCCGTTTGTTAAACTGTAACCAATCTGCACGTAAGGGCAACAGTAAATAGCCCAAAATATAACCCAATAAATGACTACAGGTGGTCAGACTCACAGTGATAAAACCACAATAACCAGCAATACAATCCATGCAGAGAATAATTATGTTTGTTGAAGTTATGTCACTCTGTTTGGCTTCACAACAGCTGCTATCGTTGATCTATCTTAAAACCCGTGGATTGACAAAACCAGCAGGAAAGCCAGTAAGTAAGAACGTGCATCTGCGAGCTACAGTGACGTAATATCACGCAAGGATTCTCAGCATGTCTACCTCATAACTTCAACTGTCAGCACAATCACAGAGTACGATCATCAGGTGAGGCACACTACAGCAACGATTCTACTCTCTAGTTCTATTCTCCTTCTCTGCATCTTCTACTACTCCTCCTTGGGGTTGATTACCCTGTGTGTAGTCGTATGTTTAAGGAGAGAGCGCGGACTACACTTACGCTCATATGGTCTATGCCCACCAGGGTACTGCCGGAACGTACCCTGGGTACGGTCCGGTATACCGGAACGTACCCTGGCAACTAATTGATATGGCTAGCGTTACTGGTTAGGGTTAGGGTTAGGGTTAGGGAGTAGGCGTAGGCGACTCCCTAGACTCGTTAGTGGAGTAAGCGAGGTACGGTCCGACATATTAGATAGTGCCAGGGTACGTTCCGGACCTTCCGGTATACCAGACCGTACTCAGGGTACGTTCCGGTATACCGGACCGTACCCAGGGTACGTTCCGGCGGTACCCCGGGGAACATAGACCCTCTCAGCTACACTTACGTTGAGGCCGGTGATGATGTGGTCATCGCGGCAGTAGGTGCCCGTGTCGTGCGTGCAGCGGTGATTCGTTCTGCACCAGTCACACGCAAACGAGCTGTTCGTACAGGCCGTGCAGCTGCAAGCATCAAGGTCAAGCATCAAGGTCAAGCATCAAGGTCAAGCATCAAGGTCAAACATCAAGGTCAAACATCAAGGTCAAACATCAAGGTCAAGCATCAAGGTGAGATAACGACCAATTAACAAGGGGATGCTCGTTAACGAACCAGCGTAATTAATAAACGCGAGGTCACGGTCGGGTGAAACACCCGGCTATCCGTCACGACATTCTCACGTTATCCGGAGTCGTGCGCGTCGATGTCAATATGCGCCGATTAAAATCTTCGTGATTGCAACTTACGACTTGGTATCTTACTGCGGACACTGTATTATTGTATTACGCCAAACCTTTCATTAATTTAATGCAACCGTTTTTTTATTTTCAAGAAAATTAAACTAACGTACTATTTCTCGTCATTCTGTGTTAAATTATTCAGACAAATGGGAAATAAAGTGCCATATCAACCCCTGACATGACAACATCAGCAGTAGCAGCAGTAGTAGTAGCAGCAGCAGCAGCAGTAGTAGTAGTAGCAGCAGCAGCAGCAGTAGCATCAGCAGCAGCATCAGTGGCATCAGCAACAGTAGCAGTAGTAGTAGAAGCAGCCGCAGCAGTAGCAGCAGCAAAGGCAGCAGCAGCATCAGCAGCGGCATCAGCAACAGTAGCAGTAGCAGCAGTAGCAGCAGCAGCAGCAGCAGCGGCGGCAGCAGCAGCAGTAGCATCAACAGCAGCAGCAGCGACAACAACAGCAACATGCTAGATGGGTGAACAGTCAGGACGTTTACTCACGATGAGAAACGGACGCAGTTGTAGAAGATGAAGTCTGTTGTAACAAAGTTAGGGCTGCCCGACACTTGCACCGACAGCTTGGCTATGTAGTACTCTGCATGGTAAAGAAACAAAACAGTACCAGGTGAGATTCTACAGTGGACCGCACTGAGGGGTCGGAAATCACGAGATGTGATGACGCACTAACTCATGCGTTACGCAGTTATGAGAAATTCAGTAAAACACCGATGACAGCAGGTGTTTTTCATGCCGAACGTCTATGATTTAAAGTTAATCTGTACAAGTCACACCTTCCCGCACGCACCGGCATCCTCCTGCTTTAACTCACTCTCCCCCACTGCCAGGTAACTCACCCACGGTGATTATATATTCCATTGTCTAAATCCTAGTCAAACAACATCTGTTACATAACACTCGCAATACTAGACGCACACCGGTTAACACGAACGACAAATACACCAATTGCATTTGCAATGCAATATTAATTTTTTTTACTTCATTAAATCTTTAAACTGTGTAACACGCAAGTTATAATGCACGCACGCACACATGACCATTCACAGACGCAAGGCCCCTACTGGCATCGTGGACTTTGGTAACTGGGGAACCTGTTTCATACAGAGCAAACAGTTTTTTGCTTCCCTGCAAGCCACCGCGCGAATAAACACACACTGATCGCGATGTTTAATTTGCCAACAATTCCCGGTTTTGCCCGCATTCGACAAAAATGTAAAAACTCGATCGATCGAAACGATGCAATTCTGCTATTTATAGGTATTTAAGAAGTTAAACGCTCTAAACGATACTAACTACAACTGCACCGCGGTACCGAAAAACCTTACAACGCAAACACAGACAGACACCCACACCATGGTGACACCGTGCCTCGCCCGCACGCCCACACACCTTCCCTCCCACCTTCCCTCCCACCTTCCCACACACCTTCCCTCCCACCTTCCCTCCCACCTTCCCACACACCTTCCCACACACCTTCCCTCCCACCTTCCCTCCCACCTTCCCACCATATATAGGAGCATCCACTACTCCAAGGCAACGATACATTGTCGTGAGGCAGAGGGTAGGGACTTACTAACTACAGATTCCCACTCTAGGAGCACCCACTAGTGTACCTCTACTACCATAGTCTAACCTTCCCTACACTAACCCCTAACGCACTTCTCCCTATCGCGAGGCGGAGAGGGGGGGCAGGGGAAAGACTTACGCATTCCGACGGGGATGGAGACAACCTGAGTGGTGGGAGGGGTGCGGCACGTCACACCCGTCGACGTTTTGTTCGCGGGGGAGCTGAGGGAGACTCCGTGAGCGGTGAACACGCACATGAACTGTCCCTCCAGCCGCGGGAAGTGCTCGATGGAAATGTCCAGCTGCAAGGATAATCGATTTATTTTTTATAAAGGGAATTATTTATTATAAGCGCAGGCAACACTTATGCGTGCGCACCCAGGCAAGGCGACTACCTAACTACACGTTGTACACTATGAAGTAGTTATTATATATAGAATATATGTGTTATTATTTAGTATCACCTATAGTATTTTAAAACATTTTTTTTACACTATTGCATCTAACGGATTAATTTCTTTAGAAAAAAGACCACATTCAGTACACGTATTCGAGTTACACGTAATAACGACTTAATAATTAAAATAATAATATATTAATAATAACAATAATAATAATAACTCTTATTCATATTAATTTCCGTGAGTCGACAACAAATGTTTGGGTTGGTGTAAGCAGCTACTGTCACAACCATGCACATGCACACCTGCACATGCACACACTATAACCGATCATCAGAAGCCCCGCGCGCGCGCGCGCGTCACACACTCACCGTCGTCGCCAGGGTAACCTGCAGCTGACTCGGGTAGACCTTGGTGATGACGCTGCAGTGACCGTCGCGATACATCACCCAGTGCAGCGGGTCGCTGCCCGTAGAACACTCGACGCTAGGACTGCACCTGCAACATTAACCACTCTATCAGCGATCTACACCCACCGATTCGGAATTTGCGTGACAAAAAGACGGGAGAGCTGTCACGAGAACGTGAAGGTACGGGACAATGAATGAGGCACGCGGTGAGAGCTGACACGAGAACGGGAAGGTACGGGACAATGAATGAGGCACGCGGTGAGAGCTGACACGAGAACGGGAAGGTACGGGACAATGAATGAGGCACGCGGTGAGAGCTGTCCACGAGAACGGAAGTACGGATAATGAATGAGGCCTGCGGAGTGAGAGCGCCAAGAGAACAGGGAAACGATACGGGACAACTAGACAATAGAGGCCCGCGCATGAGAAGGCTGTTCACGAGGAAGGTAGCAGATCATGAAGAGCACGAGTAAGCTGTCCAAACAACAGCAGAGTGACTCAATGCCCGATGTCAGGTTGACACATCTAGGCGCACTCACAAGTGAGCGTTGTGTTAGTTAGATTATGATAGATGATATCATTATCAATGGAGTGTGGTGAACATTACAATGTAATGATGACCCAGTCCACGGACAAGAACTTAATCCAATGCATCAGACAACCATGACGCCTTGTGTGAGTTTTTTACATTATGACAGACGTGAACAGACCACAGCATGATAACTGACAGCCATGTCCCAACACTCAGAACGACCACCCTCACACCCAGAATGTTGCCTGACAAAGGTCAGATCATGTCAGTTCCATCAGGCAAATAATGATGTATGACTCCCGCAGGCAAAATCAGGGTTAAGCGTCGTAAGGATTGCTATGCATAGCATTAGTATAGAAATAATTAAAAGTCATATATTATTTCATTTATCACTTCTTAGGTGTTTCCTTCGCATATATGGTTATTCTGTTATAGACTTTTCTGTCCAACGTATGTCTTAATATTCTCGATAGGGCGAGTCTTGTATCAAAGACCCCCCCCAACGCAACTCCTCTTTCCACTCCCACGAAATGGAATTGGTAGAAACTTTGTACTCTTCGTGTAACACATGCTGGAGAAATGTTCTGGCGCACTGCGCTGCATAAACAACCTATCAACGCTGTGTATACAGTAGTATCGGCTGCTGGGCACACACACACAGCGCACGTACCCAAGCGGCACCACACACCACACCCACACACACACACACCACACACACACGACACACACACACACACACACACACGACACACACCCGCACACACACACGCGCACAGCGCACACGCCACACGCCGCCGCGCCCACGCGTGGAACCGCACACGCACGCACGCACGCACGCACCACACACAACACCCGCCACACACAACGCGCACCACGCACCACACCACACAACACCACAACACACGACACACACACACACACACACACAGCACAACCACACACCCACACACACACAAATAAACACAGCCAACCGCAACAACCACATGCGAGCACGCGCGGCACAACTCCACACTACCAACACACCACAGCACCACACACACACAACCCCCACACAACACCCACCGCACTCCGCAGGCATCAGGCACGACACGCCGGCAATCTAACCGCTTTCTGCCTGCAAGCAAATCATCGCTCCTTACTGTTCTTCAGGAAACACGCATCGCGACCCACACTAACGGATCCTTCGGCCGAACCCAAATCCACCCACAACCCCAGCCACACTCCTGCAGGTGCGAATACATGCACAGTCCTTCACTTCACCTTGCTCAGCTAAACAACACGATGCAACTCGTATAGAACGATGCAAGAACACTTAGATGAAATAACGCCACCATCAGGGGTACACCTAACACACACACGCCCGCACACACCGCACGCGACAACCACGCACGCAGCGCACCGCCACGCAGCTACAGCACACGCACACGCCACGCAACGGAGCAACGCCACCCGGCACCCACACCGACGCCAGCACCGTCACGCACGACACCCACACGCACGCATCACGCCGCACGCACGCCAAACTACACCCAGCACAAGACACGCACAACCACTAGCACAAAGCACGCACTACAGCACACACGCAAACGCACACACACCACACCAAACACACACCAACACGACCGACTAACACACAACCTACAAACCAAACATTCATCCAATGAAAACGATATACTCATACCTAGCAAGTAGAACGGAAGTGCACCACGTCCCGTGATTTTTTCAGGATGAACGAGCTCATCACAATGGAATACAACATCACAAAGAACACACTCGAGCTATTTGAAACGATTGTCTACAAGTGAAACAAAATAACGCAATGCGCACTGCTTCCAGCACTGTACAGAGACCATAACCACAAGGAGGGCTGGCACCTGCATACACAAACAGAACACCAGCGGTGAGACCACATGGGGTGGTATATGTAATGCAACCCACCAATAGCATGAACAAGCACCACCTGTCCAATGCGATTCGTGATGACACAACTGCAACCTAACAATGGACAATATAATAATGCCACCGGCGACGTGGTAGACCACTCGTTAAGTCACGAGGTGGTGCAGACAGTGATGTGACAGACCATAAGGGCAACCAACATGCCAGACTATCATATGCCCATACAACGGTATCGTATTGCCACGCATTAATCGATCAACATACTCCTAACTAATCTTCCCCTTCGACCTGTTCTAAGAGTAAACGTACTCGAAAGCTAGATGTCAATTTCTTATGTAAGCAAAACATCATAAAACAAATAAATATGCGCCTGTAGCTCCATTTGAACAACTCATGTAATAGTATGGACAATTAGCACTGCTATTGATCATTATCTCGGAGGTATAAGAATTGAAATTTCATGTATGCACAAGCTCTGGGCGGAAGCAATTTGTATTTCTATAAGCAGTTTTATGTCCGATTTAAACTTACACAATGAGACATTAATGCAAACACTACAAATCTATTGATTTCCACCTTATCTCAACCGAGCAAGCCTCAGACACTCACTCGACTACGAATCAAAACGAGGTTTCTGCATTGCTCGAAATTGCCTATCCGCACTGCACTTCTTTGATGAGCTAAATTAGCCAAAATGGATTCGCTCTCAAGCAATAAGCGATACGTAAAGACGGCGTCCGTGCGCCACGCATTAGATTCGCCATGACGTGCTAGTGACCGCGTCTCCTAGATAACGAACCCCGGATGATAGAGCAGCCCTGACGTCACGCGCGAAAGAGGACGAACACCTCAGTGTGATGACTCACCACCCCCGCTCGACCCCGGGAGTAGCACGATGGAATTCCACATCATGCGAGCACAAATTATCCGATTATTGCATAATACGATCACGTACGCGCTAGATGAGATGATCTGATGCAGCAGCAACCGTCACCCGCAGCAGCCGCAAGCAGCAGCATCACCACCACTAGCACGCAAGCAGCAGCAGCAGCCAGCAGTCACCGCGCAGCAAGCAGCAGGCAGCAACAGTACAGTAGCCGTATCAGTAGCAGCAGAACATCACCACCCTCACCCACCACAGGCAGCAGCAGCAGCGTAACTAGTTACCAGCCAGCAGCAGGCTAGCAGCAGGCAGCACCACAGTACAGTAGCAGTATCATCACCACCAACCACCACAACAAGCAACCAGTAACAACTTTACCAGCAACAGCAGCAAAGGCCCCGCGGCGGGCGGCCCCGCCGCCGGCCCCCCCCAAAAAAAAAAAACAAAAAAAACGCCCAGCAACAGTTTACGCAGCAGCAGCAGCAGCAACAACAGTTACCCAGCAGCAGCAGTAGCAGTAGCATCACCCACAACTGCCACCGCCACGACCCACCAGCAGCACCTCTGCAGCAGCAGCAGCAACAACAAACAGCAGCAGCAGCCGCAACAACAACAGCGCATGCAGCAGCATCACCCACCACCTACCACCAGTAGCACAGCAGCAGCAGCAACAACAACTAACAACAACGAACAACAAAACAACACACCAACAGCAGCGCATCCACACGCAAAGCAGCGGCAGCATAACGCCCCGCTGGTTCGCCTGGGTTCGATCTGAACGTCGTCATCCTCGTTAACGCAAAAATTCCGTTGTCGACCATCTCGGGGCCAGGATAAGCGGTTCGAATCAGCGAGCTTTGCTGGGTTAATTTTACACCGCACGTCATGATTACGTAGCGTCAGTGTTACGGCCGGACCGCTTCATCGCCTGAGTGAGTCACAGGACAAACAGCAGCTGGTAATCCCGCCACCGCGATACACGTCGGTCTTTTAGAACCGGAACGTCCGCAAATAAACAGAGCGAAACATTAATGTCCGAACAAACACCGACACCACCGAGCTCAATCACTCGCCAGCCACGCACGCACGCACACGCCGCACGCGCCACAGCACGCAGCACGCACGCACGCACGCACACACCTCGCGCACATACACCACACCACGTTCGCCACACGCTACGCCAACGCAACACATACACAACACAACACGCACCTAACCAACTCGCGCCACTATGGCACACACGCACGTCCCAACACGACACACAATCGCACCAATACACACAAACACGGCACTACGAGCAGCTCGCGCACACACGCCACGCACCACGCACACAACCGCAGCACACCCGCACACACACAACTGGCGCAGCTTGATCATGGCACTTGTCTATAAGCATGTGGCCCCTTCATCGATTATTCAAAAACCGCTACACTCGCACCAAAGACATTACAATACTCGTCCGAGAACCAGACAATGCCCGCCGAGACACGCACACGCAGAGCACAACGCACTACGCACTTACATCAGTGCCGAAGGAATGCCCGCGCGCGCGCGCACACGCACCACACACCACACACACCGCGCGCACACACCATACACGCAACACGCACACGCACTGACACCAGTGTCACGAAGAATTGCACCGGCGCACACACGCACAGGACCACATAAAGCATAAAAACACACACGCCAGCCAAGGCACGCGCACACACACACCAACACACACACACACCCCCACGTACATCAGTGCACGAAGATCCACAGACGCGATCGCGCGCACCCCAAACAGCACGCCACACCCACGCCGCGCGCGCGCACAACAGCCACACACACACCAACACACACACACACACACACAACACACCACACACACTCACACACACACACGCCGCGCTGCCGCGCGCACACAACCAACAACACACACACACCACACACACGCGCGCCGCGCAACACAGCACACACCCCACACCGCGCTCGCACACACCACACACAGCACACACACACGACAACGTACATCAGTGCCGAAGAATGCACACAACCACACACGCACAACCACCGCGCGCACACCACACACACACGCGCGCACCACACAAGCACCCGCAGCACGTAGCACGCACACACGATACGAAGTACTGCGTCTAATCGCTTTTTGGATACCTAATATACATTGGCAATTCATCGTGGAAAATGTTTGTAAACGATGGGAAGCGAGCTAACACAGACTGTGACTGCAGGGTAACGTATAGCCATAGCGCTCCGCGCCGCGCAGCAATACAACATAACCCTAATAAACACGTTTAATATCCCCCGTGCCCGCTCCAGGAAGATCGAAAATTGCTGGCCCCGAGGAACCTTTAGCCGCTGCACAGTCATCAATGAAAGTAAATCAAAGTAGAATGCTTAAGTCGGGGAGCAATTCTTACAGTCTTGCATTCCCTAGATCGGGATGAAGCGGGTGTTGGTAATGAGCATTCTTGTCAACAGAACAACTCCACGCCCACACGTACGGACGAACGCACGCAATGCACGCACATTCACACATCAGCGGCACCGACAACGCACGCACGCACGCGCCTACATACACACACGCACGACGAACCCGTGTTACCAACCCCTACATACAGACACAAACCACACGCACGCACGCACAGCACTCGGTCACGTGTACGCGCATCATGCGCACGCGGGGCAGAACGCATCCAGACACCGTGCCGGCATGGGTTCGACGCAAAAGATTAATTAGATCGAGCAGCAAAAAAATCCGAAGGGAACAATTATCTTCGCCCCGATCGCAAAAAATCACCGTCTAGTAAGCCAGCGATATTTTTGCGCGCGCGCCTGCACCGCGGACGTCTGTCCGCTGCGACCTTCCCTGGCTGTTCTCCACATCACGCTGCTGCATCTGTCAGTCGACGCTCGACGCGTGGACGCTCGTACGTACGTACGTAACGCTGTCCTTCAATCGCTTGCTACCCAAGCATGCCATCTAACGCCGCTAAGCATCAATCCATGCGTGCACGCCGCGTGCGCGTAATATATATATATATACACATATATATAATATATATATATATATATATATATAGCCGGCGGCGGCAACGAAGCGCGCGCTCTGCATATTTACCGATTACGCACGAAGAAACGACGACCAATAAGAGCAATCCATTTTCCCCGATTTGCATATCTCACGAAGCGGGCGGCGGCGGGGCGGCATCAGGGGAAGAGACGCGAGCTTCGCACAAGGGATAAAATAAATAAAATCGCTCGACGAATTTCAAATTACGCACAGATGATACGATTATTTTCGCGAGTTTGCACGAGTTATTTAGAACGCGTTCATCGATCGCATCCCCCTCTAGCGTCTGTCGATCGGCGTCTCTGGCAACAGCTACACCCATGCCCTCTACCCCGTTATAAAACGCCTCCCGTAAAACCCGCGCGCGTTACACCGACGCATCGATCAAGCCGTTACTGACACGTCGTCGGCTCATTATGCCCGCCGCCGCCGCCGCCGCCGCCGCCGAAGCCGTCATAAACACACGCCGCCATGTCTGTCGTCATCACCTACGTCATCCGTCATCGACTCACCTTGTGCTTTGTCATCACGTACACGTGCTCCTCGTCAAGGTCAAAGTTCAGGTCGGGATTGACGGGGCTGCCGACGTCGACGATGAGCTCCTCAAACTCGTTAGCGACCGTCGCTGAATCCACGGTCACCTGCAGAGTAGAAGAAAACAGACGGTCTAAGTCACACACGTTCAACAGGCAGTCCCCACTCCCTCCTTCACGATGCGCGCACCCCCATCCCCCTCCCCCTCGCCCTCCCCTCTCATCGACGGCCAGCGGAACAATGATGTATCAATCTAATGTCGTGACCGGCGTGAGGACGGTCGCAGCGTAATGGTGACAGATTGACAACTGACGTGTGTCCGTGGATCAATCACGATGGGTCCGCTGCTTGTAAGGTCTTTTTAGGATGACATATTGTTTTAGGAGAACATCTCTGTTAGGATTTCACCACGAGCAGAAGAAGAAGGAAGAAGACGAAGAAGAAGAAGGAAGAAGAAGAAGAAGAAGAAGAAGAAGAAGAAGAAGAAGAAGAAGAAGAAGAAGACGGAAGAAGAATGAGAAAAAAGAGAAGAATAAAAAGAATAAGATGATGAAGAAGAAGACGACGACGACGACGACGACGACGACGACGACGACGACGACGAAGAAGAAGAAGAAGAAGAAGAAGAAGATATAACGCTTTGCGATCACTTCATCTGCACCCCCCCCACCCCCGGCTTACTGCGCTCCTCAATTGCCCGCCACGGAACGATACAGACGCATACACAGGGGATATCGCCACCTCACAATGGTTGCTAAAGACGCGAGAATTCATCTCCGGATTAGATCATCCCACCGTCTTTTGTAACCTTTATGTCTCTTCAGTGCGAGAAGATTAATTGCTGAGATTTTCCTACGACAGTTAAACAATACACATGAAGCTCGATAATTGGTTCATTTCGTTCTCTACTGTTAGCCGATCGATAAGTTTCATTTGTTTTCCACTTACTCGCATCGCTGAACGACTAACACTAGACAGGGGGCGCCAGCATCGGTTTCTTCGATTTCTTCATATATTTTATTTGATGAATTGTTTACTTGTGATGGAATCGATGCAAACTCACGAGCCTGTCTCTTAGATTTGCGTTTTGAGATTTACTTACACACTTCCTCACGCGCGCGCACGGGAACAATTTTTTCAATTTCCTTATATCATCAAAATTACGTCGAGTAATGATCCATATCGACGTACTGCCACCATGAATATCATCATTCATCTATGGCTTCAGAAAATTATTTTACATAAACTCAATTACCGAGCCACTTTGTCTATAAAACGCGCGCTTTGAATCGCCTGAGCTGCGAAGCAGACACACATTCTTTTCATCGGTTAACGGCCAAGCGAATCTTTCGCCGATCTATCTTGAATCTTTACGAATTTAGTTACGCCTACATGGAAATTTCGCCAACATGTGGCGAAGGCCGCTCTCCTGCTCGCAGGAGATACGGTAGGGCAAAGAATCCCCTTCCCCCTCCCCCCACCGTCGCTTCTGCTAAACTTAAACTGCCACGAAAGCAGAGGTCGTGCCGGTGACTGGCGAAAATCAATGTTGAGTGAAGTGGGGCGCCGCGGTCAGGAGGGCGCGGGGGTGCAATGGGGGGGGAGGGACGTGCATGCGGCGATGGTGCATGCGGGTGGGTGGCAATGGGGGGGGGATGCACTGAGGGGGAGGCTATGATAACATGATATACGTGGGGGTATAGAGAGTACGCTGGTCTGTGTAGGGTGGTGGCGTGTTGGGAAGGTTTGGTTCGGTAGCAGCCGCATGCTTTCTGCTGGTATCGTACGTAGCAGGGGATTGCGGCTAGGCGCATGGTCTAGTTAATCGTCACGTACGCCAGGGTAGTGACCAGATACACGGGTTAGAAGTCGGGGCCGTTCGAGTGAGATAGATCCGAAACTACACAAAGAGTTTTAAGCTCGCAGCAGCTAATAGGCCGATGAAACCGCCAGACTGCCTGTTTCAGTAAGCCAAAGAGGCTGAAGCGTAAAGCTCTCCTGCGTCAATCTCATCTCTGCATCTCTCGTCGCTATCTCTCTCTCACTCGCGGAGTCATCGTCATCTCTCTCATCTGCCGGTCTGCTCTCTCTCAGCTCCACGCACTCGTCGCTCTCGCTCCATCGCTCATCCGCTTCATCGCTCCTCAAGCTCTCGCTCCTCGCTCTCGCTCTCAAGCTCTCGAGTTCGCTCTCGGCTCTCGCTCTCGCTACGACAAGCCTCGTCTCAAGCTCTGCTCGCATCTCGGCTCTCGAGCTCTCGCTCTCCGGCTCTCGCTCTCGCTCTCGCTCCTCAGGCTGCTGCGCTCAGTCGCTCATCGGCTCTCCTGCTCTCTGCTCGCGAAACGTCGCTCTCCCGCTCCTCGCTATCGGCTCTCGCATCTCTATGCGGTCACTCGCTGCTGAGGGTCGTTC